TAATTAAGCCCAAAAACCCCAAAACATTTTGATTAGGCCTATCTCTCCAAACTCATTTTTCTGCCACTCCCTTAATTTGCTTTACTTCAGTCATATGCAACTTCAACTCCTAGATTACACCAAGCTCTTTTAATCAAGACCTTTACACTAGCTTTCTACCTAAAGTCCTTCCCATACTCTCAGCCTTCCCTTTCATATCTCCACCTAAACTGTTACCTCCTCAGAGAAGCCTTCCCTGATAGCCTTAAGTCATATTCCCCATTGTCATTCTCTATCATAGCACACTGCATTTACTGTTTCCCCCACTAGAATGTAAACTCTATTACAGAGAGGAATCCATCTCTCATATTTACCTATACCTTCAGAATCTATAAGCCAGTACTTAGGCATGGAGTTGATGCTCAAGCATTGTTAAAAGAATACTGAATGAAGATATTTTTTAAACCACAAAAATTATATATTGCATTATAAAAAGCAATAAATGTTGAAAATAGGTAAGCAGCAAAGACAAACTGCCTGGATTTGATCCAGGTTCCCCTTCTTGGCTGTTACCAGAGAACAATTTACTTAATTTCTCTCTGCTGTGGTAGCTCCACCTGTGAAATGAAGAGTGAAATAGTACCTAACTCATAGCTAATAACATGCTTATTGCCACTGTCCATAGTTAACAAAGACATATAGCCTTGGGAAATGCAGGAGGAGAAAAAGGAAGTTTTGTGGTAAAATATCATATTACCCACAGACTTTTGTTATTCTGAGAAGGCACTTTTTATGTAACATGCTAAACTTCCCAAGGGAAATAATCCAAAATGTTACAATTCCCTTATGAACATTTTAAAAAACAGAACTAGGAGGTCACAGACAGTTCAATCCCCGGTCAGGGCATATGCACCGGTGGTGGACTTGATCTCCAGTGGGGGGGGGCGAGCAGAAGGCAGCCAATTGATGATTCTCTCTCATCATTGATGTTTCTATCTCTCTCTCCCGCTCCCTTCCTGAAATCAATAAAAATATTTTTTTAAAAAGCAGAAAAGAAGTTTCAACTCCTTAGCCAGGTATTGAAAGGTCTTAATTGTCCACCTCACCCTATTTCATATAATAAGTCAACTTTCCTATTTCATTCATGAAAATAGCTTGCCTTACCCACATCTTCTCACTCAATTCCCTTTGCCTAAAATGTACTCTTGATTCTAACTGCCCAAACACTATTCAGCCTTTGAAGTACACTATAAATGTTAGCTCCCTAACAAAACTTTTGAAATCTAAAATACTAAAATATTCACACAATACTCTACATTCTCATGCTATTTTGCTAGCATCTTTTTTATTGATTATAGTGATTGCAAACATACATATCTTTTCCTTTTTTAAATATGTTTTTACTGATTTCAGAGAGAGGAAAGGAGAGGGAGAGAGAGAGAACCATCAATGATGAGAGAGAATCATGGATCAGCTGCCTCCTGTATGCCCACTACTGGGGACTGAGCCCGCAACCCCATCATGCCCCCTATTGGGGAATCCAACCATGATCACCAACCAGCTCTAACATACATATCTTAAAACCACATTAGATTATATGCTCCTAGAAAGTATACATAATAGCCATGGCTGGGTGGCTCTGTTGGCTGGAGCGTCATACTGTACACCAAAAAGGTTTGGGGTTCAATTCCCAGCCAGGGCACATACATAGGTTGAGGGCACCAATCCCGGCTGGGGCGAATATGGGAGGCAACTGATCGATGATTCTCTCTTATCTGTATCTCTCTTCCTCTCTCTCTCATCCTCTCTTTCCCTTCCTCTCTCCTTACCTCTTTCTTAAAAATCAATAAACATAAGGATTTGTTTAAGTAAGTATTCATAGGCTTTGTCAAAGAAGGCTTAAAATATAGAAATGCAGCCCTAGCCAGTTTGGCTTAGTGGATAGAGCATAGGCTCCCAGACTGAAGGGCCTCAAGTCAAGGGAATGTACCTCTGTTTCAAGCTAGGTCCCTGGCCCTGGTTGGGGCAATGTGTGAGAGGCAACTAATCAATGTGTCTCTCTCACATCGATTTTTTTTCTTGTCTCTTCCCTTCCCTTCTACTCTCTCTAAAAATCAATGGGAAAATATCCTCAGGTGAGGATTAACAATAGCAAAAATAAAAAAATATAGACATGTACTCTTTATGACACTGACTTTAAAACTTTCTGACTGAGATCTTAGTGCAGTGATGGCGAACCTATGACACGCATGTCAGAGGTGACACGCGAACTCATTTTTTTGGTTGATTTTTCTTTGTTAAATGGCATTTAAATATATAAAATAAATACCAAAAATATAAGTCTTTGTTTTACTATGGTTGCAAATATCAAAAAATTTCTATATGTGACACGGCACCAGAGTTAAATTAGGGTTTTTCAAAATGCTGACACGCCGAGCTCAAAAGGTTTGCCATCACTATCTTAGTGTAAGAAATAAATTTTACATCACAATCTAGTAAACAGATATATCTCTGTATGTGCCATAAAACAATACTAACTCTCAACTCTATTTTCTATTAATTCTATTTCTTTTTTGAATAATAGTCCTGATCCAACAAATTGTTTAATAACCCACTAATTGTTAAACCTGGACTATGAAAAAACATTACTCTTTAAGATTTACATAGTACTTTTCATGTACTGTGTAAATATGCTGAATACATCAACTTGACCCTCCAATTATTCCTTTTATTTGACCTTGGCAATGATATTTATCATCCTACAAAGCCAAAATTAAACAGATTCTACAAAAGTAATCACTGTTCAAAAAGAAAACCTGAGTGTTACATCACTATTCTGAATAATCTTTCTTCAGCTATCAGGCTTATTCTGAAATTTGCTTACGTGGCAGCCTGAGGGCGAACCACAACTCCACCAGTACAACGACTGGGTCTTCTCGGGGAATCTGTAGCCATAGCTTCATTCACAAAACCTGTTTCCAGAACAAAAAATAGAAAAAATCATTGTTGGGAGTAGGGAGAAAAGTTTATGGTTAATTACCAAGTGTTTTTTTTTTATTTGAACCAAACCTCAGAACCACAAAACTAGCTAAGACTCTTGCTGGACCCTTTGATCTACTGTTAAGATAAACTAGAAAAGTAAGAGAACCAGATCATGGATGGGAAGTCTAGTGCAGGATCGCTTTATAAAAATAAATGTACTACCTATGTAAGCCAAAATTTAAAAATTTACTGAAATTTTATGTTGAGATGGTTAAAATACACATGGCACAATATTTCAAGACCAAATGGAACAGTAGGGTAATACCATCCAACTAAGACTGTTGTAATCTGTAAGAAAGCGTATTGTAACTGTGGTAATGGATCATAACTAGACTTACTGTGGTGATTGTTTCACAATATATACAAATATCAAATCATTATGCTGTACACCTGAAACTAATATGTCAATTATATCTTTAAAAAAAGACTGCATGGCCCAACCAGTGGTTGAGCGCCAAACCAGGAGGTCACAGTTCAATTTCCGATCAGGCACATGTCCAGGTTTCCGGCTCCAGCCCCAGTAGGGGGCCTGCAGGAGGCAACTGATAGATGGTTCTCTTTCATCATTAATGTTTCTCTCTCTCCCCCTCTCCCTTCCTCTCTGAAATCAATAAAAATATTTATTTTTTAAAAAAATAAAGATTAAAAAAAAGACTGCATGGTCATAATTAGCAAGGTTTTTAAAAACAATTGTTAACCCCCTGCTATTGGAATCTAATCACCAGAGTCTAAATAAGTAATAAAAACTTATGACATTAGAAGCCCCTTATCCTTTCCTCTCACATCACTGAATCCTCATCCCTAATAAGCATCTGAATCCTTGGGGAGGTGTTAAGAGCATGGAGTGTATTTGGTTAAGGTTTAAAGGAGGACTGACAGCAATATTAAATATCTCTTACAGGGCTCAGGAGAGCCCACAGCCTGGAACTAATTTTGAAAAGCCCCTAAAACCCTCACTTCTAAGTAGGGAGCATTCTATCACCTTATTTGACAACTTTGAAACTGATGAGTCCCATATGCTACAACCAAAACACCCTTTGCCCGAACCAGCCCAGGTACCCCTTCCTCCATGGGTATCTTCACCTCCAGCCCCTCAGCCCTCTCATTTCCACACCACCCTTCATTTCCAAGCACAACCTCCCAAGAACTGTCCTATGAGGGCCCTGTCTCCTGAAGACGACCATGGCCAGTGCCTCAGGCCCCACTCTCCTGAAAGACGCTCGTACCGCGCTCCCCACTTCACCTCCAACGCTGTGCCACCGCTGCCCCCGGCCGCCCTCTGGCCCCTTGCCCTACCTCCCTCCCCTCCCCCTCCAATCTCCACAGCTCCCCGTCGCCGAATCCCTGCCAGTCAAGCCCTCTCCACTCACGCGGCTTGCCCCTCGTCCTCTCCAAGCCTCCCCAAAGACACAGCCCCGCCAGCCCTCTCACCGGCCGCCCGCCGGTAAACGCTGTTCTCCAGCTCAAGCCTCACTGTTTGGAGTCCCCTCGTGATTGACGGCTACCACTTCCTACCACGCCTCAGCGGAACTACCTTTCTAGCCAATCCCAGAAGCCAGCTGCCTGCGGCCGGGCACCGCCCTTAGAGGTCAGCTTCGCCAACCAGCAAGTAGAAAAGAGGCGGACCCGCCTCCTGAAACTATCCAATCCGCTGGGGCTCGAGGAAAAACAAAACAGTATGTAAATTCGGGTAAACCCAAGGTGTCAAGTTCGGTTGCGAACGCCGGCCGGAGGAAGTACGGACATGTGTATTTTCCATTGCAGACAGCACCTTCGTGGGTCTGTCAGAAAGCATCACGCCCCAGACTCCTGTGCCCCTCACCTGAGCGTCTCAGGCTGGGAATCCGAGGACCCGGGGACTGGTCTGTTTACATGGAATTCTCGCGACAGCTGGTTAGAAGCTCAAAGCACGTGGACATGGCAGCTGCCAATCACTTTTAGTTGGCCACTCATCCATTCCGAACCCGCCTTCTGCCCCGCCCTTGTAGATGTGTTTATCTTCCGGGAAGCTAGGTTGGTAGAGGGTGGTGGGCAGCCCTGAAGCTGAGGAGGTGTTGATCTGAAGGAGAGACGCGGCGAGTGATCTCCTCAGTTTAATCTAGGTTTATGGACCACACCTGACTCCTTCCTTCCCTCCTTCTGCCTCCCGTAAGGAAGATATCAAAATCTCGCCGGTGTTGTTTCGTTAGTTACATTTCTATATAACAATAATAGCATTTACTGACTTATTGAACAAACGCTCAGTAAATACAAAGGCTCTAAGAAGGAAGTGAATTTTTAGTAAGAACGAGAAAAATACTATGGTTTAAGCAAAGTGAAGTAGTATAGAAAACTAGGTAGAAGAGGTAAGCAATGGCCAGACGGACTATGGTTTTGTACAGGACTTATAAGGAGTTTCAATTTTATTTTAGAGTGAGAATCAATTGGAGGACTTTCAGCTAGGAAGTGTCATTATCGTACTTACATTTCTAAAAGATCATTTTACCTACTAAACAGAAAATAAACTTTTGTCAGGGAAGGGACAAGGGAAGCACTGGATCAAGTATGGAGGCTATTTCATAAGACCAGGTGGGAGAAGGGGTCTAGAAGCGAAAAGTTGTGAATTTCAGAATATTTTGGAAAAGAGAACTGAAAGATCTTGATAATGCATTGCATGGGGAATAGAGGAAAAGAGAGAATCAAAGAAGATGCCTGTGTTTTGAGCTTGAGCAACTGAGTGATGACATGTACAGATAGGATGAACAATGGTAACGTTCCACATTTTGTTTTATATTTCAGATATTTTTTATTCCTTCAAATGTATTGTTTGTCAGGAGTGACTGAAATAAAAATATAATAAGAGTCCATCATCATCATGGGAATGGCTTTAAAAGAAAGCTCGTCAGAGGAATATTACTGCTTCCCATTGTCAACCAGTAAATAGTCGCAATTGAATTTCTTTGACTTGGTTTCATCCTTTGTAAACTGTAGAAAGAATATTATGTGCCTTGTAGGATTTTTATAGAAGTAAATAAATTTAAAATTCTTAGAACCGTTAGGTCGAAAGGGGGTCCAGGAGCTGATGCATGCCTCCACCAGGCAGATGGTGATGTAGATACTGGGCCCTTCCTAGAATCCGTAACAGGCCAGTGCACAAGGTGGATGGTGACGCAGATACCGGTCCAGCCCTGGAATTCCTAACAGGTCAGCTACCAGACAGATGACGACACCTGGAAACCGTGACGACCCCCGCGGCAGGAACTCCCACAGCTCATGCTCCCCCGCTCTCACTGAACAGCTGTATAAAAAAATGCCCCTACTCCCTCTCCGCGTGACTCCACTGGCCCAACCCCAGGACCTGTGGACCTCGCCCAAGAGCGCAGAATAAATTCTCCTCCTTCAATCTACCTGACTCTCTGACTCAGTTTCCTGCGCCGCGAACCTCACAAGAACCAGTTAGAAACTTCTCCAAATTAACTAATTACTAATTAACCAATGAACTAGTTCTAAGTCCTCCATTTTTTTCTCTGCAGAGATGGTGTGATTCTTTCATGAGCCTTCAAATAAAAAATAAAATGAATGGTAATCATTTTTTGAATATGAGTGCTTAGTACATATTGCCAGCTCATGAATAATTTCAAAGTTAAGGGACCTGGGGAAACTTTTCAACAATCTGTTCTTCTGACTGAGCAACCCCAGCTAGCAAATTCATTTTCAGCATAAAAGAGTTCAAGTCAGAGAGTTCTATGTTATCCCAATTACTACAATGTCCACTATAATAAATCACTAATGACTAAAATTGCCTTTCCTACAGTCCCCAGGGAATTGTCAAGGAACTGTTCATACATATGCAAACAAAATGCTAAGGTCACTTTACATTTTATTGTGTATTTGTTTAGATAGGATTGGGATTCCTTTTTTAACCTCAAGCAAACCATTGCCTCACTCTGGCCACCAAAAACACTTGGATAATAATCATATGATTTAAGCAGTGGTGAAATAATCTGATTTCACATAGAACTATGGTGAACATTAATATGTTAACTTTCAGTCAAATAAAAGGAAAAACAGATTTTTTTGTTGTTGTTAATCCTCACCCAAGGATATTTTTTTGATTTTTTAGAGAGAGGAAGAGAGAGGGAAAGACAGAGAGAAACATCGATGTAAGAGAAACATATTGATTGGTTGCCTCCTGCACGAACCCTGACCAGGGCCTGGATCGAGGAGGAGCCTGCAACCAAGGTATGTTCCCTTAACTGGAATCGAACCTGGGACCCTTTGGTCCGCAGGTTGATGCTCTACCCACTGAGCAAAACCAGCTAGGGCAAGGAAAAACAGATTTTTAAAAAGGTGGCTATATAATGTATCATTCTACCCACAAAACCTTGAAATGAGACACTGTTAGGGCCAAAAAAATAGAATATTGGGGACTAACTATGGTTATGGTAAATATTAATCATGCTCTGTGTTAACGTAAAAAAACCATTGAAACCTGTAAAGAATTTTTGTGAGTTTATTTGAGCCAAACTGTCAACATATGCCGGGAAGCAGAATCTCAACGAATTGAGATAGTGCTCGGGAGAATGGTGGGGTTACATCCGTATTTATACATTCCAATCAAAGGAGGAACATAGGTGGGTTACATGAAATTCATTGGTGATAGATTAAGGAGGTGGGATTAAGCGAAGCGGGGGAAACCTCTGGGATAGGATAAAAAGTAAAATGATGGACACATACTTAGGTGGATGCAGGAACAATTAACATGATGATGAAGGAATTTGTGGTATCTGTCCTGGGACCCAGCACACCTGCTTGTGCCCCAGGGGCTCCAGATACAGGGAAGTCACAAGTTACTCAGACATTTCAAGGGTATGTTATCATAGATGCAAAAAGACAGATAGGCTCAGTTAAGGTAAAGGTTGACCTTGTCAGTGAAGATACTGGCCTAGGACGTAACTGCCCACCATAACTGCTTTTAGTTAAAGTTTAATTTCAGTCCATCCTTTGTGGTTATTTTAGGTCTCCGAGTCTGCAAAACTTCCATGCAGGCCTCTCCTGAGCTTGTCAGGTCAGCATGAGGCCCCTTTCGTCCACACTCTGTTAACCATATTGACTTGTGTTGGTTAAAGAAAGGACATTCTGACCTGGCGGGGAATTGTAGGCCCCAGGACCTGAGAGTCAACGTTGGACCAGGGAGTCAACCTTGGACCTGGGAGTCAACCTTGGAATGGGGTCCATTCTCACTCAATTGCCTATTATGAGAAGATTAACAGCACGTTGCCAAAACAATGGAGTCCCACCCCTGCCTCCTACTTCCCCATGCCTGTAATCCCTACTTCCCCAAGTAATCTTTGTCTTACTGTATATAAACAGCTGGCTTATGGGGAGCTGCAGAGCAGATTTTTCTCAATGACCTGCAGCTCCCCCATACTGCTGGCAGTATTGGAATAAAGGCTCATATATGACTCAACCCTGTCTCTGCTTAATTGGCTCAAGTAGTGACAGGCACCATAGACCCATTGATTGTCCACTTACAATATTGCTAATAAATCAACCAAATTTTTTTAAAAAAGGTAAACGACAGACTGACATACCTCCATGTGGAGGTGGGAGGACAAAGAGAGATAAACCGAAGACCTTATATACTTATATGCATAGCCCAGGGACAAGGGCAATAGGTTGGTGAAGACCTGTGGGGGGTAGAAAGGGGCTGGGTGGAGGGGATTAAAGGGGGAGAAAATGAGAGACCTCTGTAATACTGTCAACAATAATAAATATTTTAAAAAGTAAAGGGTGCCCTGGCTCAGTTGGTTGAGTGTCATCCTATGCACTGAGAGGTCACTGGTTCAATTCCCGGTGAGGGCACATGCCTAGACAGGTCCTGCAGGAGGCAGCCAATCAATGTTTCTCTCTCCCTTCCTCTCTCTCTAAAAATAAAGCAATAAAAACATGTCCGCCGAAACCGGTTTGGCTCAGTGGGTGGAGCGTCGGTTTGCGGACTGAAAGGTCCCAGGTTCGATTCCGGTCAAGGGCATGTACCTGGGTTGCGGGCACGTCCCCAGTAGGAGATGTGCAGGAGGCAGCTGATCAATGTTTCTCATCGATGTTTCTGGCTCTCTATCTCTCTCCCTTCCTCTCTGTAAAAAATCAATAAAATATATTTTTTTAAAAAAAAAAAAAAAAATGTCCAAAAAAAAAAAAAAAAGGTAAAGGTTAAAGTAGGACTGTTCGAGGCAAATTTTGAAGTGTAGTTGCCCTTTGTCTCTTACACATCAATGCTACTTTGTAACTGTTCTCTGTTGATGAATGTATCATTCTATTGTCTATGTAACTAAAATGTAAGCTCTTTAACAGAAGGGATTATTTGTTTCATTTTTGTTCTCCATAATGCTCTATTCCCTAACAGGAAAAATTACATGTCAAAACCCAACAATTTATCCTGAAATATGGAACTGGTATTTATAATTAAATATTCCAGAAAGTAAAACTATTGACAAAGACCAAAAATTAGTTTCATCAACTCTTTTAATGATCTCCAGAACATATTCTAACTTTCCCATATATTACCTTCCCCATTTAACCCTAGATAAAGACTGCTTTAAAATCTGAAGTAACTTATGACAGGAGGGTTAGCTTTACAGTTGTATTATTATTTATTAATAATCATTTGCCCACCCCTGTATTTAATCATCCAAATATCTGCAAGATAATGAAAATAACATAATTAATGTTGTTACCCAAACAAACCTAGTATACAGCTTATGAATGCAATATTTTAAAAAACCTATATTCTTTCTACCCGTCTTCTGATTCCTGATTGGATCCTCAGCTTCCCCTAATCTGCTGTGTATTCCAATGTGTTCTTTATTGGTGCTATGTCATTCTTTATTTCATAGTTACTGTATCTCTTCTCATGCTGTTGAGCATCTTTACCATCATTACTCTGAACTGTGTTTCCGATAAATTTCTTACCTCTATTTCATCTCTTCTTCTGAAGAATTATTTTGTTCTTTCATTTGGAGGTTATTTCTTTGTCTCCTCATTTTGGCTGCCTGCTTGGGTTTGTGACTATGTATTAAGTAGATCTGCTATGTGGTCTCCACTTTTGGTCCTAGGGCATCAGGGTTCTCTCCAGCAAGTCCTCTGTTGATTATTCAGGCAGTTTTTCTATATTTTAGTTGTAATTTCAGTTTGTTCCTAAGAACATGTCCATGCAGCATCCACTTACTCTGCCGCCATTTTTAATCTCCAAAACCATATTTTCGATTTGAGTTTCAAAATTTTGCTGTTTTGTCTTTAGTCAGTTGGAAGATGATCTTGAAGGTCTACTATATTCTTTCTAGATTGTGATGGACTACTTCCAAGATGGCCAATAATGACACACACCTTTCAGTATTCATGGCATGTGGTTGCCTCTTGCATTTATATGTGTGACTAATAAAATGCAGCTGAATTAACATGGTACTTCTGAGGTTAAGTTACAAAAGACATTGTGGTTTCTGCCTTGTTCATTTTTTTCCTTTTTTAATGTTTTTATTGATTGCAGAGTGGAAGGGAGAGGGAGAGAAAGAAACATCGATGATGAGAGAGAATCCTCAATTGGCTGCCTCCTGCATGCCCCCTACTGGGGATCGAGCACAAAACCTGGGCATGTGCCCTTATCAAGAATTGAACTGTGACCTCCTGGTTCATGGGTCAACTCTCAACCACTGAGCCACACCGGCAGGGCTCTACTTTGTTTCATATTTTTTTTAGAGAGAGAGAGAGAGAGAGAGAGAGAGAGGGAGAGAGATGTTTTGTCTTTTTAAATTGATTTCAGAGAGGAAGGTAGAGGGAGAAAGAGAAACATCAGTGATGAGAGAGAATCACTGATTGGCTGCCTCCTGCATGTCCCCTACTGATGGTCAAGCCTACAACCCGGGCATGTGCCTTTGACTGGAATCAAACCAGGGACCCTTCAGTCCACAGGCCGACGCTCTTTCCACTGAGCCAAACTGGCTAGGGCTGTTTATTGTTTTAAGCTACTAAATTTTGAGGTATTTTTATGCAATACATAACTAAATTTTTTTTTCATAACTACCATATTTTAATCTTTAAGGCATGAGATAAATAGGTCAAGAACCTGTTCTACAAAATATTGAAAAAGGAAGTTAATGGATATATTGTGAGAAGCCCTATGAAGGGGCGCATATGGCAAGGAACTGAGACCTCTTACCAACAAATTATCAAACCTGTGGATGGGATTGTAGAAACCCTGATTTATAGCCACTTGATCAAAAGTATATGTGATTTATAATTGGTATCTGAAGTGGATGCAGTCTTTTGAGACTGAGCTCTTAATTTGTGGGTTCTGATAACTCCAGGTAGATACAGAACTGAATTGAATTGTAGGACATCCAGTTG